CAAGATAGGAATATTATCACAATCAAAGTGGATTCAGATATTTCGCTAGAATTCGAAAAATGCAAAATCTCTAATCCAGATACACACAGTCTACCACTTTGGTCGCTTTGTAATGAGCTAAGTCTCCCTGAATATGACAAACGTCAAGTTGGGGCCACCGAAATATACTTAAGCCTTAATGGCGATGATAACGAAATAATATAATCAGGATACAGTAACGTGTACGATGGAGTTTCGCTTTTCCTTTGTACCGAACAGTAATTGTAGAATCTACGATAAAACAGCCATATGCTATTTTGTCGGGAAATATTGAAGGTCTCGTTTGTCACGCATTCAACTTCAGTGGATATTATTTCATAAAATTGGCTCAAGTGCAAATTACGCTATTCAAAATGATTGGATTTTCATGCCCTTGACGTGACCAAAGCAGTCAACACACACGCAGCAAATTTTACTGAAACGGGATCGTAATTGTGAGTTTTCATGCATTGAAACCAGCTAAAGTATTATCGCACAAACTATCAAAAACTTATTACACATGATCATGCGTCAGGCAGTCAAGTACTTACGCTTAGAATAAGGATTAACTGATTCATAGAGAGCCATCAGAATTTACCCATCAAGATATTTCGTGAAGTTGCACAGAAATCACTACCTTGAACGTATCTAAGAGGTCAAAATAGCACTCAGCTATTCTAAAAAGTTTTATATTTTGTTAATTTTTTAAGTCGATAGGCTAAATATAGCCCTTTTGACGTCCAAAATTCGGTTATTTAATTGAAACACCGGAACTTACAAGCAGAATTCGATTTTTTAATTTACAAGGGTCAGGATAACGCAGCTCGACAGGCAAAATATACTCACTTTGATAGACTGTTGTAGAGCAGAGTAGTGAAGTAATATCGTACCTTACTGTCATCAAAGCACGATATCAAAGGGATGATACTCCAAAATGTAGCGTTAAAAGCTGTCTGGATAGAAGCTTAATTTTGGAGGTGATAGAACGTATGCGTTATCAGGTCCAAGGCAAATTGAGACTGTGATGCAACATTATACAATTGCAAGTGCACCCCCTCCGCGCTATTACACTTTCGACGTCTAAACGTTTCGCCTTTGCTTGTAACTTTTATACGCTTCCTTCCTGTAACGCAATGTAACCACTGCATCCTTTCCCGGAACCCACCGCATCGTCTATTTGTCGGCGTTTCAGATCTTGCTCACCTTGTGCATGTACTGAAGCTGTCTTTTGTGCAGCTACCTCACAAATCGAACGTTTTATTGCCGTCACCAATTCATGTTGATTGTCTGACTGCAGTGAGTATTGTA